CTAAGTGAGTCTTGTACCTGGCCACATCATCAGTTCCATGGCAAGCATGCCCTGGCCTCACCATCCTGCTTTTTGAAACACTTTAAAACACTTTTAATGGATGCTTTTAATGCATCCACCACACTTACCTAATGACCTCAGGAAAATCAAAAGGAGAGGCTTTTGTTACGTATTTAAGCAGTGTTTGGCTAATGTTATGGGCTGCTGGCCTCCAGGTCCCTCTGCTCACGTTTTCTTCTTATTTCTCTGAAAGCTTTAAGTCAGGACAAGATCAGGCTGATCCTTTTGGAAAAAACTACAGAGATCTAGCCCTCCTCTAAGGCTGGCTGTTTGCTCTCTACAGACCATTGGTCTGTGCCCTCCTGGCAGCAGGACCTTGGGGGATGTCAATCCCGTGCAGGGCAGGGTAATGCATTTTGATACTCCCTTTCACAGCAAGATTGAAAACACACAAAGAAGAGCAGGCAGCTGAGGTTTTCGCTGACAGCCTGAGAGGAGACTTGCTAGCAAAAAAAGGCCAGGCAAGAGCAAGGAAGGTTGCTGGCAAAAGTCATTAATGGACTGTCCCTCCAGATGCAAAAGAATTAGAAGTAACACACTGAAGTATGCAGATAAAGTTACTGGAGTTGCTTTTGACCATAAAGCCCAGGACAATGAAGACTCTTAACCTCTGTTAATCATCAAGAAGCTGGAAGAGGCCACACAATGATCTGAGCTGCTGAAGCTGCTGCACCCTTTTGCTCCCTTTAATTTAATTGTATCAGACCTGCCCTTGTCCTTTGTTCTTCTGCCCCACTCAGGAAATCTGCTGCTGGTTTTGGCAGGGCTCACTCTGGCTCTACATGGCTGGTTTGTGGACAGCCAGGAGGGATGAGAGGGAGGGCAGGAAAGGGAAGAAGATGGGAAAAGGTCTCATGGGAGCAACCAGCTTAATGTGCCTCACTTGTCTTAATACTGCCACTGCATCCCTTCCTGGAGAAACTTCCTCCTGATAAGCCAAACAAGTGAAACTGAATGCAGAAGGACTCCTGCTCATATCAGCAGAGAGGAGGTTTCATGCTTAACTCTTAAAAAAACCCCAACAAAACAAACATAACAACAACAACAGAAAAAAGCTCCTATGAGCCAAGCCTTGCTCAGCAGGAGCTGCCAACCCAGCAATCATTCTGGTTATTGGTCAAAGTGTCTTTAGCTTAGCTGGTCTGGTTTGTACTACTTGCTCTTCATCAGACTGGTAAGAAATAAGAGCAACAGCTTAGCCCTGGGTCCTCCACTTGCCTAGTGTGCAGAAAAGGGTCTAGCAAGCACAGCAGAGGGATCATCAGTGCTAACCCCTAGGCTGTTTTCTCTGCTGGTTGCAATAGCATCACTGTACCCCTTGCCAAAGAGTGATTCCTAGGAGCTGTTCTGGGGTGCAAACCCTCCCCCGCCCTCCTGTTGCTTACTGGACTCCTCCAAAAGGCCACCACCTCCTTCCCACCCATCTCCACAGGACTACAGGTCCTCTCTCAGCAGCATCTGAAGATGTGGGTAGTTTTCCGCAGTGCCAGTGATACGGAGCAGCTCTAGCTGAGGATCTGGCAGCATCATTGCAACTCCACCAATTTCCCCAGCAAATGCATTGGCCTCTGGTCTTTTGTCAGCATCATTGCAAGAATACTAAAAAATTAATGACCTGCTGTGTCGATATGGCATTTTTATGACCCTTTTTTTTTTTTTAATTTGTCTTAAATAAGCAAATAAACAAATGCAAAAAGTGGTTTCCTGGACACAGACGCGTTATCTCCAATTCCACGGTGCTGCTGAAGGACAAGGTAGTGGAGCAGGTAACCTCAGGGTGTACCTTTCTCACCTTTCCATCAAGGAGTAACAATGCTTAATCTGTGGAAAATGATGAAGCACTTACAGAAAGTGGTGGTTAACAAAAGGATTTTCAGATTATTTTTTAATCCTTCAGGCTTGTTTGGGAAACATGATTTTGAGCTTCATATTTTACCAGATTTCTCTGACTTCAGAGTCCAGTCATACAAAATTATACAAACCCACTATAACAAGCCCAGGTTTTCCCAAATGTGTAAAATGTCAAGGATCTCAACTCCCTTTCACAACAATGAATTATCAGTCATATTCCTGCATGGAAGTATGCATGCATAATTGTCTTTCTAAATTTATTGGGGGATTCTTCCTTCATTTCTTGCTGTAATTTGTCTTGGATCTGAAGAGTAAAACACCTTTATGTTGGCATGTGGGACTCTGGAAAAAGTCAGGAAAAAAATAGGACTGTAAAGGGTGGTTTTCTGTCCAATGACAATTTTTGAGGCTTGCTTTTTTCCCTATCAGAATGAAAGCTCAAAATATAGACATTCTGCCGCCCCCCAAATGAACACATTAAACCAGCTGCAGATACTTATATTGATTATATTATTCTTTCCATTTTGTTTGTAAATGTACTTTATGTTGCAATGCAAAGTAGAAATTCCAGATTTCTTGGGTAAAAATTAGGGTTCACCAAGTTGATTTCAGTAGTTTGGGAACTATTTGGCAGATAATTTTAAATCAGAAAGTGGCAATCTGCTGCACTAAAAATACAAAATTATGATCCAGTAAATGACTAATTTTGTGGTCCAGGGTAATTAGTGGAACAGCTCAGCGGATGGAAAGCAGCAGGTCTAAATTACTGCACTAAGTCCGTTTGCAGGAAGATGTTATCTGACTTTGTTGTTATTAATAATAATTAATGAGAATTAAAATATTCATCTGGGATTTTTGCCATTGCTATTAGCGGGAATACGTGTGTGTGTGTGTATGTATGTATGTATGTATATATTTGCTCTTTGATGCTTTTCTTGGTTGTTTGCATCTCAATCTTTGACTGTCTTGCTCTGGGACTTTAATAATACTCCAGAATTGATTCAGACCACACCTTTGTCTAGCACAGAGGAAACCTGAGGCTTTTACAATTAGTGCTGCTGGTAATTCCATGAAAAAACATAGGCCATGGTCAGAGAATGAAAAGAGCAGTAAAAAGTAAAGCAATAAGCAGTCTTTTTATCAGCAGTCTCACAGGGAGCATTGGTTGGCAGCTCACAGCTTGCTTTTGTGTCTTGTTTTGGCAGCACAGGTATCTGGGGATGCAGGGACAGTGTGGTCACTCTGAGTCTGCAGGAACCCACACAGCCCCAAAGCCCCTGTCACAGTTCAACACTGAGCCTGCAATTAAACACCTGACAGATGCTCCCCATTAACACCCCTCTACTGCAGGTTGGAAACTAAGCTACACAGCTTTAATGAAACAATAGCGATGAGAAGGAAAATAAGGAAATATACAAATATATACAAAAGGGATATCATGTCTGCCACCCCCCAAAAGGGTCGGGATCAAAGGCAGACAGATGGACAGAGTCCTCCCAGGGCACTGGGCATGGACAAAGAGAGCTTAACTGTCGTGATCCTTCAGATTTATGCCAAGTATGACATGTATGGGATGGAATACTTTAGTCAATTTTGGTCACCTGTCTGGTCTGCTCCTCCCCAAAGGAGGGTCACAGGTGTGACCCCTTTATGCCCTTTAGTGTGTGGAGCAGTAGCCTTGGTTCTGCATGCCATTCTCCAGCAGTAACTATAAACATTGAGCTTAGCAATCCTAAAAGCAGCTACTGACTGGAAAACATGCTGTTAATTTCAGCAAGTGCACCTACTTAGAAGAGACTTAACTGAAAAGTAAAATTACTAGAAAGAAAGTTGGTTCTATCCTGGTTTAAACCAGGACACCTTCTCTGGTGAAATCCAGACCTTTCTTTGCTGAAGTTCAAGGTGCTTGAAGTTCTATGCCCCCAAGACACCACTCAGTTGCTTCGTCTTGTGTCCTCCATGACATCAGTCTTTGGTGTTTTGCTGGGCATTCCCACCTCAAACCTGTATCCTGTGGTAGGTTTTAAGCACATGTTTTAAGAAACCCTTTGACTAACCGGGTTCCCATGCTGGGGGAGACTTTTAATGAGCTGGTTTAGTGGATAATTGCTTTCACTGTTAAAAACAAAACATGCTTCTACCTTTGTTTTCAGCTCAACAATCCTGAGTTTCGGTCTTCCAGCCCTGGACTTTGCTCCACCTGTGTTTGGCAGAGTTAAAGCCCTTCAGAGTCTGAAATCTTCCCACACGCCCCTAAAGACTAGGAGGAGTAATTTCCTAATGTTCTCTTTTAAAAGGACAGGGATAATTGAAGAGGCATTATTGAGTCTATTGACTTTTAGATGGTTTGTGTTTGGATTTGTTAGTGAAGTTTTAATTGTTCCTTTTTTATCATTGTACAACTACTGTTAGTTGCTGTTCACTATGTCTACATCTGAGGATGTGGCCCCACTTCTGTTGAAGATCCAACATTTGGGGCTCTAATGTACAGCTAAAGGCATCTTGATTTCATTTTGGGCACCTTTGGAGACAAGTGGGTGTGTCAATCAAAGTGCTGTTAACTCCCTTCTCAGAAGGTTTTGTAAATATTATTTGTTATTTTTAACAGGTCCTTTTCAAGTGTTATTATATCTCCAGTAGTTTCAGTCCTGGTTGTAGGCTGGGCTCATCCTTAATCATCTTGAGTACTTTCTTCGCTTTCCTTAATTTGATTTCACTGAGAAATTTCAGTGAGATGATACTCAGTTGAATGAAATTGGAGAGTAGATGGATCCTAACAAACAGATGCTGTGCTTTCCAGGGGAAGATTTCTAAGTTTCATTAAACCAAGGGGGGCTCTTTTGCCCTGACACTTACAGATTCAATACAGTATTATATTATTATTAATACAAATTATAAGCTGTCTTGATCTGTTGGCGAAATTTCAAACCATAGTCACATCCAAAGCCTCCATGAAAGGATGTGAGCTTTTTTATAGCATTGTGTACTGTGACTGTTCCTCATCCAAGGGCCCACGCCTTGGCAGGATGGAGGAATAAATGTCCTGTTTATGTTATTTACCCACTTACCTGTATTTTTTCTGTTTGCAGCATTTATTTTCCTGCATATATTGGGGTGGTGGGAAATCTCATAAATACCATGATAGCAATGGTTTGGATCCCTTTGCAGGCTAAACCAACATCAGACCACGATGTGACAGAGCACAGTAAGTGTTTATTGTTTCTGATAAATAGCACCCAAATAGGGACAACAGATAGAAATGCTCTAAGGACTGCTAAAGGACTTGGGGGTGGATTTATGGGCAAAAACGTGCCAACCTTGACATGCAGACACTTGAATGCCTAAGCTGTGTTTGTGGAAGGGTGTAATTCTCCACTCGTCGGCCACTCTGCTGTGCAGGATTGCAGGCTTCCAGCTCAGGGCTTGCCATGCACCTCCTAAAAGGTGAATGTGGACCCTTCACTGGGGTTAGTTTGACTGAGCATAGGAGACAATGTCACTGTCTCACAGGAGTCCTCAGCATGCAGACCTGGCACCATGTCTCAGCCTTCTGCCATCGACAGGGACGTGCCCATTTGGAAAGGTTTTAGTGAACCTGAGCAGACAGTCTCAGAGTTTCTTGTTTCCCGCCCCTAACCTGTATAAACAGAATGTTGATCCAGATGTCATTTTCTGTAGGCACATCACAGTCTGGCAGCATGTTTAGCATCAGAGAAATCTTACGCCTGATGAAGTTCCCAGGAGTAACGGAAGTTTTCATAGTCAAGGTCTTTGCTGCACTTCCCGCAGGTAAATCTCACCCATTACCCATGATTGCTGATGTATTTAAAATAAGATGACATACACTGTAGACCAGGCTTGTCTCAAGTTATTGAAAGCACATTGCATTTGATGATGGAGCAGTGAAGATTCAGCTCCTACCTTGATGCTGGATGCTTTCAAATGCTTTCAGCTATATAGGGTCAAAAGCCTATTGCAAGACAGATTGCTTGTCACAGGCTGCTTCTGCAACTTTTGGCAAATCACTTCATCTCTACTACATCCTCCTGGCTCTGAATGTTTTTTTCTGCTTGGCTGTCATTTCTGTTTAGGCTTTAACCTAATCAAAGCAGAGGGAAATAATTTGTACTCTGTCAGAAAAACTGAGGTCCTTCCTGATTTTAGATAATGTTATTTAGGGGTATGAGTACCTTAACCTTTTTCCCAACAACTGAAAACTATTGTTGTCAAGAAGCTGTAGCTGCTTTAGCTGTCAGCTGCAGGCAGGTGAGCCACAGCACGTTTCTTCTCATGCATGTTGGTGGTGGTGGTGCTTGTTCTTCTTTATATATTCTGCTTGGGTTTTTGTGTCATGGTAGGAACCTGCTACTACCTCAAACCCACCCACCACCTGCTTGTTCCCTGTTCCCTTTGAGTCAGTTGCTGTCTTGGCGTGATCCATGTTTCCCAGTTTGCCTGATTATAAATATACTTGGCCACTATTTCAAACTATATAAAATTTGGCCTACCCTCTAGCTTTTTCTCCCACCCCTTCCCAGCTTGTCTAGAGACAAGCCAGCATGTCAGCCCTGCTAGTGGTGGTGTGAGGACAGGGTCTTTGCTCTTGCACACAGAGAGCCTTCACAGCTCTTTTCCCAGTCAAACCTAAAAGTGCAGATTCTCTTGCTTATGGTTTCAAGGACTGAATTTTGTGCACATCAAAACACATGCACATTGTGCATTTGAACAAACAGAGGCACTTCCCTTCCAAACAGGGATCTTAAGAGAGGATTTAAGGCACCTTGGTTTTTATGCTTTGCATCTTTTTTCAGTTCATCTGTGTCTGGAGAATACCTGGAAGTTTAATAACATGAAACATAATTGACAAATTAAATGATAATTTATAAATTGTAGATTCAGTTTACAAATAAAAGTATATTTGGTTCTTATGAAACTAAACTTTTGTAATTGTATTTTTAGAAGTGTTTATAAAATTACAGCATTTCACAGAATGACGCAGTCAAGTGATATTTTAAGAGGGTCTTCCTTGCTGATTAATTTCTCAGCTTAAAGTAGAATTCATTTCTGTGTTTAAGAACGCCTGAGACCACATTCTTGTGCAATCTGCATGGTGCAATCCACTGTGCTCTCCTCTTTCCAAAGGCCAGGCACAACGCACTTTGTTTCAGTCGTCCCTGCTGAAATGCCAGTTCCTCCCTGTTGCAGAAGACATTCTTCTTTTCCAGCAAAAATATGCACCAAAATAAACATCTCCTGCCCAAAGGTGTGAGGGAACTTCTAGGCAAAGAGAATGAAGACGATGACACTGGGATCTAAAGCAGGACATGGGCTGAAAGTCTGTCACTGGAATGGCTGGGAGTCTTTCAGTGAGAGCAGGA